CAAGGGTACGTGTAACCCGTTAGACTTTCCCCACTAAAATTGTGAATATCCTCAATTCACGGTCGCTTGTGACGAGGCTCGCATATCTGAGACACCTTCACGTTCTTTTATGAACGACTTTGGACATTCTCCGCTCTATGAGCCCTGTGTCTACGACGCGCAAAGCACCCAGCTTAGCTGGTGCCGAGGGCTCCCGCGGGCAAAGCTCTTCTTCTTCAGCACAGGGTGTATCTTTGGACAGTACTTCCGTGGCTTCACGGTAAGCACATCCGAAACCCTTGGAAATCGAGCACAACACATCGCACCCGCCCCGGGCGACGGATTTCCTCGTCGAGATGTTGGAGGGAGTTGACTGCGAGCCGGATACTCCTTTCCCAGCATGGGAAGACGAGGAGGATGTTGTGCGCCAACGGGGCGACGTGAGCCCAGCTCAAACCTTGCCGATACCTTGTCCGTTTCCCGACCTCTCGGCTTCCGGGGAAAGTGGTACTATTACCAATCGCTTTGACGAATCACAGGAACAGCAATTGGAGGCTGCTCACAGGGCAGCTTTCCTACGCTCGCATTTGCGTTCGGTCTTAGACCCTCGTGTGGAAAACGGCTTCCACCCGGCGGATCCCGCTACTGAAGCGAGCGACGCGATAGCTCGATTGTTAGGTGTCAACGTAGTCGGGCCCTCGGCCTGAGCTTGATCAGCGGAAGCTCTGCAAGCTCGCTTTTTGGTACCACAAAAAGATCCCAATGAAATGATACCGCGCTCGATCCGTGCTCAAAAGGGATGCGCTCCTGTACCCGCAATGCGGACCATCTCTGTGGTGATCGCCCCTGGCAAAACCGCTTCAGATGATGACGAGCTCTTTGAGCGATGGGTGCGGCGGCACCAAAAAATTTTGTTGCTACCTTACAGCGAAACCACAGGGAAGTGGACGTGCGCGTAGAGCGCCATCTTAGATTTGAGTTTGACAAACTCAAGGTGCAACGCCGACTTCCTGCGTATTGTCGCCCTGCGACATATGGAGCAATAAATAAGGCTCCCGTGAGCTCTGTGGTTTCTCACACGGGTAAGTAGCAGCTCAGGGCCAAAGCTTGAGCTTAGCTCATGGCCCTCCGATTTCCCGGACTACTGTTGAGAAGCGAGGTGCGCACGACGACATGAAGCGTTATGGTCCTTCTGATCATAAGCGCTCACGACGTCTGGGTAGTCTTACCGAAATGGCACTTCAAACTCCCACGAGTTCTCGAAGTAGGAGTATTTCCGCCACTTCACAAGATATAACGTTAAACTTCGTCGTCGACGTCACTCACAAGGCGTTCTACGTGGTGGTGGACGCCACCATTTTAATCGAGAAAAGTCGAATACGGGCGATGACGACTTGGTCGATCACCGCCCGGTGACTCTCGATGCTCTTTAAGCGTCGGAGAACAAGGTCCATCGTCATCGGCACTCTACCGAGCATATCTGGGAGGTCGCCTACTGCTGTGCGGAAGACCTCGAGAGCCTGGAGCACTTTGTCCACAGACTGCCTCACGATGAGGGATATCGAGCTTTGTCGGAGCGGCTCCTAGTCGTCGAGCAGGCGAATACGTCACTTCGAGCGACGGTGAAGCGCCTTACGCCCTTGGAAACGTAAAGTGTTGCACTCCGTGCTTCGAACCAGTTGGTTCAACGTCTGGGTGGCCTAGCCTCTTTGGGCGACGCCCCGGCGCCAACGCTTCTGCATTCACTTGCACCAGATCCCGGGATGGCTTAAGCAAGCCCACATAAATCACCGGGTGGGTGCGCATCCTTGTTGGAAGGCTCAGCGTATACACAAGGCCTCGCTAGACCACGACCTTAGAAGGTCCAATAAACCGCGGGCGGAGCTTTGTCTCAAAGACAGCAGAGACTCCGTGTGTCGGAAGGCTTTCAGCATGAACCAGGTCTCTGACCTCACTATTTTCTATAAATATTCTTCTTCTCCCGTCTGCATAATCCTCCAGCATGTCTTGGCTTTCAGCCACCGCATCGCGAATGTGTCGTTAAACACCCAGTTTGGTAGACAAGAAGTCTTCGACTTCTTTACACACAGTGATGGGGCTGACATCAGCTAGCCGTTCGGCTATTCCCCCCCATAAAGCCCTGAGCCTTAGGATGGCAGCGTCAACGGGACACGAGGATTTATAAGCCCGTTTACGAAGAACAGCGGATAGCTGGTGGATGGATGCACTGCATTGTTCAGAGCAAATTCTACTGTGGCAACATGGCGCTCCAGCGCCTCGGCGTCTCAGCGCAGACGCCACGAGGAACGTCTTTGATGACGCGATCCACCCTTTCGGTTCAACCATCGGTCTGCGGATGATCCGCTATCGACATATCCAACTTGGTGCCTAGCGCCTTGAAGATAGTCGCCCAAAATTTTCCCGTGAAACGAGGGTCTCTATCAGAGACAATCGACTCTGGGAATCCGTGTTGTCGATAAACACGATCCACGAACAGCGTTGCTGTACCGACTGCGTCGATGGTGTCTGGCACCACCGCCAAATAAGCCATCTTGCTCAACCGGTCGGCGAATACCACGAGCCCGTGTTGCCCGCCGAATATTACGGCAGGCCAAGCACAAAGTCCA